TAAGGCCTGATAAACTTTTGACATCACACTCTGGGACGTGTGCTTATATGGGTAAGTCTTTTTACTTCGTTCTCTTTTTTTCTACTATCTTTATTTAACTCAACTTTTTCTTCCCGATTTCACAGCTCCAGAGGTATTTAGAGGTGGCGGTTATGGCATCACAGTAGATTGGTGGTCTCTTGGTGTTATGCTATATGAATGTATATATGGAAAGGTAGATTCTTGTTTTTCAAGATCATTTTTGCATTATTAAATGTCAAAGGTGAACAATGTATTGATTGAGATTTATGTTAATATATATTTATTTATTTATTTATAGCGTCCATTTGATTGTGATAATCAGGAAGAGTTAAAGAAAATGATTGTAAAAGCACCTATAAAGTATCTTGATATGGACCCTCCTGTCAGTCCGGCTTGCGTCTCCGCGATTCAAGGAGTGAGTAAATCGATTCGCATTTAATCTCATCTTCATTAATCGATTACAAACATTTTTTATTGATTCAAAAATTTCTTCAATTTTTTTAAAGTTTCTTGAACGTGACACATCTCGTCGTTTAGGATGTGGACCTAATGGGTTCGCTCTTATTCAGAGTCATCCATTTTTCCGTAATATTGATTGGCCTTTGTTAGAAAATAAACGAATAAATCCGATTTTCAAACCTTCGTCAGACCGTATTAATTTTGACGCTACTTATGATTTGGAAGAATTACTTCTTGAGGAACAACCTTTAGAAGCAAGACATAATAGACGTCGAAGAAGACGTAAAGATGGTGAAGGTTCTGAGAAGGAAGCACATTATCAATTAATTGAAGAGAAATTTAAGACTTTTGATTATACTGTGTTTGAGAAATATGAAGGTTGGGTTGATCCTGTAACAAAATGTGTTGCGGATCCTCCGGAATGGGTTAAACCTGCTGCTGTCGAAGTTTTAAATCAAATCGAAAGAGGAAGTCAAGATGGGATCGGTGCTAATTCGGGTGATCTTAGTAATTTGGCTGGGATATCTTTAGACAATGGAATCAAAATTTGAAAATTTTATTTCAAAGAAAAGAAAAAAAGAAAAAAAAATTGTTCCAATCATTTTTTTTTTTTTTTTATATTATTATTATTTTTAAGCTTTATTATATAAAAATTCAAATATTTATTCATTTCAATAATGTGAAATTACAACTTAAATTAAGAACAATTTATTGTAACCTTTCCAATGCATCAATTAAGGTTGTCATGTCACTTTTAATATTTTGTGTGTATCTTATAATTTTCTCCTAAAATTTTTTTTTGTAAATTTAATTTAATCAACATTAGTCATAAATAAAGAAGAGGTGTTTCAAGTAGGAAAAAAAAAAAAAATAAAAATAATACCTTATTATCTAAAACCTCGATACTTTCAGTATATGGGTTGTACCTTACAGAAAATGGTCTATTCAATGTTTTCGCGAATTCTCGAACTTTTGTTTGGGCATCTTTAAACGATTCTGCAACAAAGTAAATCTTTATGATACAAAAGTTCGAAAACATTGTCATGGTTAAAATCATTGTAAATATATCCAAGATGTTAAAGCAAAAAAAAAATGGTTACCGGTTGATATTCTGTCACTATATATTTTTGTACGGATGTCTTAGAAGGATCAAATGACAGTTTTTCAGGTTTATCCGTTAAAGCGTACTAACAAAAGTTGAATTGTGAGTAATTTTTACAAATGAATTTGGTAGTAAAAGTTTTGAAATTAACTTACCTCCAATTCACCAAAAGAAGACAACAAACCGGCACCATATGCACGAATTTCATTTTCTTGGCGACAAAGACCAAATTCTACCGTAAACCAATAGATCTTAAAAGATAATTATCGGGGGATTTTTTTTTTTTTTAGTTAATCCTATGATTAAGTATCCCTACACAGGTTAAAATATTTACCGTAGATAGTTTTTCAATATCACTATCGCTAGCACCTAATGAAGACAAACCGATTTCCTAATAAAAATATAACAATCTTAACATTAATTCATTTAAATATGGTTAAATTAATAAATATATATATACATATTACCTGAGAAAAATCGGCGAAATCTGGATCACAAAATAACGGAGCCTACAAAAATCATTCAAACTAAATTATTGTCATTTCAATTATGGCAACAACATAATTTAAACTCACGTGACCGAGGAGCTCGTGACACACATCACTAAAAAAAAGGCCAAAGATGGTATTAATGTGTATTTCTTCATCATAAATTATTGATATTCGATACGATACATACGGTTCTGGAGTGTAAAAAGGTTTGGAATGATGGCGAATGTATTGAGTGGAATGAAAGACTCGAAACGCGAGACTATTCAAGAAATCACGTGATGAAAGTAAACCCATAACGGGACGAAGAGTGAATCCAGTACATTCTGTAGAATTATTGAATATATACAAGAAAGTAGGGTATTAGATAAAGTTTTGAAGTTGTCAAACGGACTGTATTTGTCCAACCCTAGCGCGTACCTTGCAAGAATTTGGATACAGTCTCTAATTGTGGAATATTATCTTCTCCATAACCACAGTTCTGGACCAACAAGGGGAAAACATATTGGTGTTCTCTACAAGCGTGGGTAGGAAATAGTTTGGTCAAATTACGAAAAACGGTACCCCACGTAGAAATCTCTTCAGGTGCATATTTAATCTCCGGGATAGGTTGTCCATGACGATAAATTTTGGCCAGACGCGTAATCTCAGAGCGACGTGCTCTATAAACAGGATCTTTGGCACCAGGATGATCAGAGTCTAGTATAGAAATTAGATATAGAAGTTAATATCATATCATATACATCTGATACATATCAAAGAAATCGAGTTTACCCAGTTCTTCACCCATCTCCAAAACTTTTTCGGCAAAGGAATCGAGGTCAGATTTTTTACGTGGGAACCACGGGACTTGTTCTGAAATGGTTCAATCGTTTAAACATTTACGCAAAAAAAAGAAGAAAATTATATTAAATAACATACCTGTTGTAGCGTTAGTTGCACTCGTACTTACTACTTTAACTCGCTTTGTAATCTTTTCTAAAGCCGTAACGATACGAATAAGTTGTTTCGTATCTTCGGCACTAAAGTCCACGAAAAAATCATAATCCCAATCAGGTGTTCTACTTGGACGGCTGCAACGCAAACATTGATATATTCAAAAAAAAAATGTTAAAATCATTAATTAAAAAGTAAGTAAAAGAATAATATTAATACCTTTCAATTCTAGTCAAAGAAACATTTAAGTCCTTAATAGTTGTTAAGCATTCATCCAAAACACCTAAACGATCATTAACACTGAAAAGTATGGTAGTAATAAAGGGACCATGATCATTAAGGTCGGATGTGCGAGAGACTTCTGAGTACATTTTGAAAGAGTGAGAGTTGTAAGTGTCTAAAATATGGCGTTTATATATGACAATTTTTTGACATTTTTTGGGGGGTTGGTCTGTGCAGCGTGAGAAAATTCATAACTATTTTTAGCTTTTTTCATTGTCATATGGCCGCCACATAGAGAATGGGTAAATTAATTTTGTCATTTACTAGATTATACATTTTATGAAAATTTACTTTTTAAAACTAACAATGGTTATGGTCTAAAATGTTTTGTTTTTTATATGGAAAATTGGTGATAATCATAAATAGCTTCCTAATGAGTTGATGATAAATATGTTTACTTAAAATCTATAATCTAAAGGATCCAACTCTAGAAATATCATGAGACCATTGTTAATTGTAAAGATATTCATGTGACATGCGCTTATAAGAATGGATATTAAATTTGTTTTTCTCTCATATTTGTTTCGTACCAATAATCGACATGTTTAATTATAAAACAAAACAGAAAGATTTCCCTTTATTATAAAATTGTTTTACATTACAAATACCAAATATAAAGAAAAATATTTTATGGATAAAGAAAATGAAAATAAATAATTAATTAATTATGAACAAATAAATAAGACTGTACAAATGGTAATGAAATAAATAATTTAATCATCTTTTCTATAGACTTTTTTGATGACATATTTCACATACCAGTTAAACATTAATAATTAATTAATTAATTAATTAATTTAAAGTAAAGAAGAGTGAAGAATAAGAATCCGATCATACTCTTCTCAACGACAAATTAGAATAACATTTAAATGTTTAACAAATAAATTCTAAACTAATAAAAGGTTTTATACAAATGAATTACAATTAACTAAATATTATTATATAAAATTAAATTACTTTTTACTATTATTCTCACCATCTACTCTATTATCTGCGTTTCCACTTTTAATTTCTTTTAATATCTCTGGAGGGATATGATGATGTGATTGCTTTAATTTTTTGGTAGAAGTATCAGAACACGATTCTATAGATTTAAACCATGGATCCTGTTTAATTTTGCTAATATTAATACGCTTCGTTGCATTAGGTTCTAATATTTTATACATCAATTCTCTACAACCAAAAGGTAATTTTTCAAATGGTTCATATTGTCCAGAATTTCTTTTCTCTAAATAATTTGCATAATTTGGATCTGTTGGCGTTGCCATTCTAAATGGGATACCTTGGTATATCATCACATAATATACTATACCACATGCCCATACATCGACCAACCTCGCATCATATTCTTTTGTTTCAAATTGCTCCTACAAATTGGAAGAATACATATATTAATATAAATTCATATTTTTTTTAAAAAAAAAAAAAAATCAAATCCTTATTTCCGGAACTCATTACTTACCGGAGAGATGTACGGTTCAGAGCCACATAAACCTTTTGACATATGAGCAGCCTCTTCCCAACAAGTTCTAAATACATCAGAAACACCAAAATCGGTGATTTTTAAATGACCTTTTGCGTCAAGTAAAAGATTTTCCGGTTTGATATCTCTATGAGCGACACCCATATCATGTAAATAATCTACGCCCATGATAAGTTGTTTGAAACAACAATTTATTTCCAACGGGGTCATATGACCAGATTTTATAGCGGTGTATAAATCACCACCAACACAATATTCCATTACTTCACACCAATTATGATTCTCGTCTTGTATTAAATCAACCGTACGTACCACATTAATATGTTGTAAAGTTGAACTTATACAAAATTCACTCGTGAGTTTTTTAACATACTCCTTTTCCGTTTCATTCTTCTTTCTTTTTCTAAATTCCTTGACGGCATACGTTCTTTCAGAATCTGATTTATCGAATTTGTGAGCGAGACGTACAACTGCTGTTGCACCTTTACCAATACAACCTTTTTCACATACACCATATTTTTTTAACATTGATTCACTGTCTATCATACCAATATCGCTACCACTATCACTTCTTTGCATTTGTTTATGACTATCAAGATCAAGGGTAGGGTTAAGAATTTCTTTCAACATGGATAATTTATCAGACGTGTTATTAATAAAGATGAACTCTCCTTTTTCTTCTATGGGTGAGGCAATAGGGAACGATGGAAATTTTGTTTGCTGTTGTTCTCCATTTCCTTTTGGTTCATGATGAAACAATTTGTGCACGCTTTGTCTCACCAAGCTCATCTTTTTATGAGTATCATCAACTTTGGAATTGGCAACGATAGGAGTAACATCAACAGTTGTGGCATGTACAATTGATAAATTACGATCAATTGGTGAAGAAGGAGCATTCGAAAGGGTACGCGTTTTAATAAGTGAAAACGTATCAGATGTAGGTGTATTAGGCTTACTGTTAGATGATGGAGGAGAATTCTTATAATCATTATTAAAAGTTTTATTTGGGTTGGTTATATCAACATGTAACTTTTTATTGTTTTTCGAGGTGGAAGTAGGATTTGTTCCATTATTAAAACGCTCTCTTGTAACTCTAACAGCTCTTTCTTCTGATTCAGTCATACGACGACGAGCCTTACTATCAAGAGCTGGTGCCCAATAATCTGTAGTAAAGGTAACCATCTTTGTTTGTCGAAACGAAAGTGGGTCGATTGAAAAAAGACGAGTTGTGGAATGAAACTTTAAAGCTTACTTATATAATAGTTTTTTGAAAAATCTTTTTTTCTTTATTATTTATTTAAATAGGATTTTTTTTTTTTTTTTTTTTTTGAAAAAAAAAAGGGGAAGCCAAAGTTGGGCTGTTAATTTTTTTATAATATTTATGTGTCAAATGTCAAATCAAATGACAAATGATCGTCTACAGTAATCTATATAAATTCAAATAATTTAATCGGGCAATTAGGTTGTGGTGATTCCCAACAGATTACTTCATATACACTGAAAAGAATTAATGAAAAATGTTGTGAAACATGAAGAAAATTATAAAGGGAGATTTAAATAGATTATTTATATATATATACAATATATTGAAAAAAAAAAGATCCCGTTTATTTATCATAATCAATTCAAAACATCTAACTACCGATAGAAGATCCATCGGGATATAAAGATTGTTGTTTCATTAACAATATATAACTTTTTTTAGTCAAGGACAAAACTGGATTTTTTTTTTTCTTGATCAAATTGTTCAAATTACAATCCGTGCAACCTCTTGGCAATAGTTTAACAAATCAAATTGTATTCAAAAGTATAAATTGGGCTAGCTAATAAATTTTCTAGCATCTGACTATATTTAGAAATAACAGAAAAAATTACCAGGTGCCAAAATCTGTAAAGTAAATCAATAAAAATATATGTTGTGTTTCGATATATAAATAAACGGTAACCATACAAAATCAAAGTTACAATAGATTACCAAATTTATATTCTTAAACCCTATTTATCTTTATTCGTAGTAGAATTTTGGTTGATCAGGTTTCAATAATCGCGTTATCTTTATGATCTCTCATTTTTTCATTAAACATGGTCGTGATTACTGCTGATTTATGCATGTACGTATGACCTACTGTGGAGAATCCCCGCTCCTTTTCCAGTTTCGTTCTTTATTTATTTTTTTTTTTTAAAAAAAAAATTTGAAATCTTATGTCATTCGATACACATTGATACACAGTTCAACTTTTTTTTTTAATTTTTTTTTTGCCTCCTGAACAATGTCATAAATGACGTTAAGTTAGTTAATGTCGGCCGATTCACGTGCGAATTATTTCATTAAAAAGATGATACTGCTAGATTTGTCTAGATTTATCCACTTACCAGCATTAGCCTGTGTATCACATACCTAATAATAGATAATTTAATTTTTCCGAACCTAAAATGATCAGAAAATATGATATCATCATCATCTTATTTCTAGAAACGGTTTCGTGATTTTTAATATGAGTTGGTAGGGATCAATAAAACCGAACTGCCTAATTTCCAAAGAAAAAAAAAAATGTTAATTTTTATTTATTTTATTTTATTTTAGGAAAGGAACTAGTAGAGCTTTGGGGAGGTTACCTCAAAACTTTCGCTCAATAACTGGACTTGGAACTTGTAAGTGATTACGTCCAAGATCTCGTCATTCATTTAAAGAAAGTTTCAAGATGAGCTGATGTTTTTGTATAATAACAGCTACTCAAGATACTGACTATGATGATATTCTAAATCGTTTCGTGGAGTTGCATAACAAGACGGAACAGATGTATAAAGATGCTGTTAAATTTAGGGACGGTATCTCATGTATGTTTCACTAAATTCTTTTTGATTCATTTTAATTCTGATCCAATACTCAAAACATCCTTTTTGAATTTTATGTAGTTATGTTGAATCATCAGGCTAATTTTTCTGATATTATGGTAGAATTATATAACCCTATCGTAGGCAAGAATGAAGCTGAATCAACTACCCGTCGTGTTGCAACTCCTGTTCAATCTATGAATTCTGTTAAGGAATTTCAAATGACGATGGTCGAATTGAGAGATATTATTTTACCTGAATTGGTGAGCGAATATTTAAATTTTATTTATATTTTAATATTGTACGAATATATATAAATTTTTTCAATATTTTAGGATCGCGTGGATAATATGGTAGTATTACCTTCTAAGGAATTCATCGACATTATTAAAATGATAAAGAAAATTATTTCAAAACGGGAGCACAAAAAGGTGGATTTTGATCGATACACAGTTAGTGTGAAAAAGCTTCAAGATAAAAAGGATAAATCGTTGAGTGAGGCAAAGTCATTGGTTAAGGTATTGTCGAAAATACGATGCTTTGAATTTAAAAGATTATTATTGAATTCTTTTTTTTTTTTTTTTTTCCGACACAGGCTGAAGAAAGTCTTGCCAAGGCGACAGGAGAATACGAACATTACAATGAATTACTCAAGAAGGAATTGCCCGTATTCTTTGAATACAGGGCTCAATTCATCGAACTAATTATCACTAATTTTTATCATTTGCAATTAAAAATTTACGGTATTTTATATGAAAAAATGGACCTTTTAATTAATAAAACTGGCTACTTCGATGTTCGGTCGGATATAGTAGAACATTATGATGAAAGGAAAGTTGAAGTAAATCAACAAATTGATCAATTTATTTTATTACAGAGAGGAGACAAGAAAGGATCGAAAAAAGAAAGTAAGTCGATCACTCCTTTACGTCACGTCTTCGAAATTTCCCTATTTTATTTACTAACGGGATCTATTCGATATTATCTTAGATAGCAGTTTGCACCATGATAAAAGTGAACCAACTGGGACAGGGCATCCTAGTAAAAGTTCCACGTATAAATCAAATAATAACGATAGCGATGATTATGCGGAACCGCCACCATCTTATTCATCTATATCTACCCATCCTGTAAACATGCCAGCTGGTCCAAGCTCTGCAGCTAGGTCCCCTTCAAATTCAAAACTTTATCCTATTTACAAAGCTCCTCCGCCTTTTCCATCTCATGGTTCAAAACCACAGTATGTTAGAGCATTATACGATTATGATGCGCAAGCAGAAAATGATTTATCATTTAGAAAAGATGATAAGATTGAGGTAATTATGCGAACAGAAAATGAAAATGATTGGTGGAAAGGAAAACTGAATAATGTAATTGGTGATTTCCCAGGTAATATAATTTATTGGCATTATTAATTTAATTTCATTTATTTGGATCAATTATATAAATCTTTTACTTTATTTTATAGGAAATTACGTTCAAGATTGGTGATCATTTAACTTTAATTTATAATTCAATTGAACCTTTAATTTAAGGGTTTGTTTTGAAAAATACTAAAATGAAAATTTTTCATTGGAATAATAATACTGATATATACCGAGTAATTTTATTGGAAGTGTACTATACTACTTAAGGCAATTATTAATATGATCTAGGAGAAAGGGAAAGAGTCAAGCTTGATATAAAAATAAATATATACTCAGCGGGAAAGTCATTGGAAACGTTTTTTAAAAATAGAATATATAATGATATTTTTGTAAATTTTTCTTTAAAAAAAATCTTTGGATTAGGAAACCTATATAATAATAGTTCTCGAGATAATCATCTTTTAAAAAGATACTTCACAAAAATGGATATTTTAATTATTTGCTATAAATTAATAAATTGATTTTGTTATTTATTTTATTTATTTGTATGCAAAATTTTTATTTAATTTAAAAAATATCAACTATAATTTTAATAAATTAATTATAATAAAATTTGTAATGCTTTTATAAGAAATATTAAGATATATGTATTTAATAACAAAGTTCTTAATTATATATAAATAATTTTTTATATTAATTTATATTTATTTTTTAATAATATATCTTATTTTATTATAAGAAAAGATTTTTTATATACTGTATTTAATAAATAATATATATTAGTATTACAGTCAGACCTGTCTATAATCACTACTTTTGGCCAGCCAAAAACCGGTGATTATACTGTAGATAAGTGTGATTATCCCTTAAACTGTAGAGGTTCGCAGGCAAATTTGCCTGCTTATTTACTATAAATTCCCTTCTGATTTACTTTTA